TATATATATGGAGATGTATCAAGAAAAGTTTTTCATAGAGCTATATAGTAGGGCCCCATTTTATTTTTTAAAACAATCATTTTTGATAAATGTAGGGGGCGAATCAAGAAAGGCCTAGGCCAATATATTAATAGTAGTTATCTCCATGTTATGGAAGGAAAAGAGTCAAACGGTTTTGTCATTTATTGTACAACCATGCAAGATTTTTATAACGAAGGCAGTAGAATTACATCTTGACAAAAGTGAATAGTAGCCTGTGTCGGAGGTCAGACTGTAGAGAGCAGGCAGCCAACCTTTGATGCGATTAATTAAACCTAAAGTGCCGCTGCTTGGAGGGTGGCCAAGTGCTCAGTGCGCCTGCGCGGGGGTCTGCCCGGTGCCAGCGGCCGAGTCCTTGTGGTTTCCAGTGTTTTTTCCCGCTGCGTTGTACCTTCTTGGAGGAAGGAACGATCCTTGTTAACTTTGGTGTTAGCAACTAGAAGAGTAATGAACAAATAAACGAATGAATCACGAATGCCTGGGCACCTTGAAAGGTTGTCGCCCACCCCGTGCGTGGCGCGGTGCAAACAAATGCTACAAAGGTGCTGGCGGGCGGCTCCCTGGCGCCTCCTGTCGGCCGCCCGGGCTCCATACACAGGTGCGCAGCTGCACAGGTGAGGAAGCCTCCCCCAAGCAGCGGGGTCGCTGTGGCTCCGCTGCCGGCTCTGCAGAGGAACGGGGTCTGTGCACCCCGACGTTCAGCACCACTGCCTGGCGCATGAGGACCCCGCCTTCAGTGTCAGGCACAGGGATTAGTTCCATCTGAGAGTACACCTGCGGGAGAGATTTAGCTGGAGCCACTCCCCGCTGGTTTGTAGGGCATGGAACAGAATGTGCAAGATCCCAGTAAACTCAGTGGCCATGCATCCGTCATCCAGCACCCTGGGAGGCTGAGGCAGGAAGATTACAAACTCAAGTCTTTCCAGGGTAACTTAGTGATTTAGCAAGACCCTGTCTCAATATTTAAAAAATGTAATAAAAATAAAAAAGGAATGAGGAGGTAGCTCAGTGCAAAGGTTTGCTCTCTAGGATTACTGGGAAAAACCAGTAGTGTTGGGCCAGGGATGTAGCTCAGTGGCGCTGTACCTGCCCTGTAACTACAAGGTCCTGAGTTTGATCCCCAATACCAAAACCAAAAACAATAACGTTGAGCTTTTCACAGCTATTAAAGCTATTTAATTCACAAGTTGAAAAATATTTCTGCCCGTTATCTAACATCCCAGCAACCCATCAGCACTGCAACGTGTGGATCATAAGAAAAGACAGTGGCTGTCCAGTCAGCAAGGGTGTTCTCCTCCCCGTGCCCTGGTCTCTCCGCCAACCATGTGCGTGAGGGTCGGTCAGTGGCTGGCAGGAATTGGCAGCCAAGAACCCTCTGCTAGGGCCCTCTGCTCTGAAACTAATGGGTCCCCTTCCTCCCCTGCCGACAGCAGCCCAGATTCGCTGATGTAGCTGTGCAGACCCCGTTCATAAACAGCCACTGGGCTCTGTCCTTTGTTAGCCTGAGCTTTTCCTAAACGCAGATAAACTAGGCTCAGTTGCGGATGCAGCACCAGGCTTCTTTCCCTGAGCGTCTTCAGCTTGGGGGTGGAATTTGGTTAAATGCATGTTTCTTTTCTGCATCAAAGTGAGAGTGCCCAGCTAAGGGTGGCGAAGCTCCACGGTTCTCCCTCTGGACGCATCCAGGAGGTGGCAGAGGGCTCTCTGTCCTGCAGGAAGCCTTCCCGGCGTACCAGCAGCCTTGTACAGCCAATGCCCTGCGAGCAGACTGGCCGGCACGGCGCCTTACCCGGCAGCAGTTGCCAGCATTTCCAGCCCCTTTCCCTTGGGCACATTTGGGGCAGCAAAAGTCGCGGGCACTTCCGGAGCCCTTTGTCTTTTCTAAGGTAACGATCTTCCCTCTGAAGGGGAGAAGCACCTGCCGCTACGCGGGTAAACGCATCAGGAGATTCCAGGTTTGTTCGCCGAGCTGCCCGCTGTGTGCAGGGCCACAGCCTGCCAGCTAGCAGAGCGCGACTTGGGGTAACCGCACCCCTTTGTCTCCACAGATGCGGACGCCGAGATTGAAGGCGCCCCTGCCGCGCCCCTGGATGTGGCGAGCTTGGAGGCCAACAAAGACTACATCATCGTCTCCTGGAAGCAGCCGGCTGTGGATGGGGGGAGCCCCATCCTGGGCTACTTCATTGATAAGTTAGTGCCTCGTCCACCTGCACCCAGCACCCGACTCCCCCCGCTCCCCTGTCTCTCCCCACGCGCACATCCAGACACTCACATAGGTCTGCCTGCCTGTCCATGCACCCAGACTCCAAAGGTGGACCCATCACCGACCGGTAGAGTTAGGTTTGCACCCAGGTGGGTTAACCCCGACTTTATAGCACGAGGTACAGGTGTGCCCGTCGAGCTCGATACCCTCCTCAGAAACACTTCTTGTCGATTGTATACGACCTAGCTGGGTACGTGAAATGCTATGGGAGCGTCGGTTAGTGAAGGCCAATAGTGAAGGTTTGCACAGATCTTTTCTCACTCTCAGTGTCTGGCCTATCGGCCTCGGCGAACTTCCAAGTGATCTGTAAGCTTTGATGGGTGAGAGGGCCCTCGGGACTCTCTCTGCTTGTCGTCCATCTCACCTGTTAAAGAAACAAGCCTATCACAGCCGCCTCTTTGCCCTTCACCCTCGCGGAATGTAGTGACCATGCAGTAAGACAACATGGCGAGCTGTTTTCCAAACTACAGTGAGACCCTTTCAGGGGCCAAAATTCCAATAGCACTGCCATGTTAGAAAGAAAATGCCCCAGGAAGACAAAGAAAGGAATCACTGGTGGTAGATGAAAGGCATCAGATGTGGGGTCAGGGGAGTCCTCCCCCCAGGCCTCACCCACGTGAACATGTGGGTCCCCTTCCTGCTTTCTCTTCTTCCCCAAACTCCTTTGCTCAGCACATGGGACCCTCAGCCTCCTGCTTGCAAATCAGGACGGATCTGAGGCTTCTTTCTTCCCGTTAGGGTGATGTGCTGCATTGCGTGGGACCGGGCACCTGCTGTCTGAGAACTAGGGAGCCTGCTGTGTCGGGAGCCGGGGCTCCTACTGCAGAGGTCCGCGTGCAACATCCCTGTGCCTGCACTTTCCCTTAGGTGTGAGGTGGGCACGGATAGCTGGTCCCAGTGCAACGACACACCTGTGAAGTTCGCTCGCTTTCCAGTCACCGGATTAATAGAGGGCCGTTCCTATGTGTTCCGGGTTCGAGCTGTGAACAAAAACGGAATAGGCCTCCCCTCTCGAGTTTCTGAGCCCGTGGCTGCTCTGGATCCAGCAGAGAAAGCTAGACTTAAAAGTAAGCACTTTCCATTTTGTGGCACCCTCCCTTGTACTTCTTTACCTTTTGAAAATAACTGTGGCACAACCGGGTATGGTGGTGCACGCCTATAGTCCCAGCACTCAGAAGGCTGAGGCAGGAGGATTGCTGAGTTCGAGACCAGCCTGAGCTACATAGTAAGTTCCAGATCAGCCTCAACTACATAGTGAGACCCTGTCTCCAAAAAAAAAAACAAAAACTAAAACTAAAAAAAAAAACTGTGGCACACACCTGTGACCCCAGTTCTCTGGGAGGCTGAGTCAGGAGAATCTCAAGTTCGAACCCAGCCTGGGCAGTTTAGCAAGTTAGTGAGAGCTGGTCTTACAGTAACAAAGGTCTGAGAGTGCAGCTCAGTGCAAAAGCCCTGCACTCAATCCCTAGTATGGCAAAAACTAAAATGAAATAAACTAAAACAAATGCAGTGATCTTCTGTGCAAGGTTACGCCTCTCCCTTCCACTAGAGGGAGATGAGAACAAGAAATCCATCTCTGATTAGGAAGTCCTGGGGGAGGGTTTTCCTTGGTCGTCTTGCCCAGCCAGTCTCTTCAGGGCTTTGGGTAATCTTACTTCATTACATCTTATTTTTGATCTTACTCAGAAAAGTTTGCCTTGTTAATCTGGGTTACAGGCGCTGTGTGTGGTGGGAAATATGAAAATAAATAGCCCGAGAGCATTTTTATTCTCGTTAGCCCTGTGTTCCAAATGCGCTTCTGGCTCAAAGTGCATCCATCTCTTGCCTCTGAAATCTACTCCCTGAGCATTCACGTCTCCACACCAGCCATTTCTCTCTAGCAACACAGAAGCAGGCCTGCATGATATCTGATCTGAGCTTGAGATTCCACGTTAGACAATTTAGAATAATCTTTTCCTATACTGAGTCTCCAGGGTACATAAACGATGCCCTGCATTTTTCCCTGGAGCCTGTTGGGATCCCCACTAATAGGGACCACACAGTGACATTACAGGGCTTCAGGACGATGACATTTCAGTCTGTACCAGCTCTCCGCCTTACCCCTGATGTTACTTTAGGCCAGCAGGTCTTTGTGGAAGGGGGCGTCCTGCATGTGATAGGATGCTTTTGTCCCTTACATCTACCCACCAGGTGCCAGTAGCCTCACTCCCCCCGTGTGACCATCAAAACTGTCTCCAGACACTGCCAGATGTGCCCTGGGGTGGGGCAGAGCCACCCAGGTGCAGGATGACGGGTCTGTGCCACCTTTGCGGGTTGTTCTGTACCTTACTGTGCGCAGTAGCTACCCCAGAATTTAAGTATGATAATTCACCTTTCCCCGAACCCTGGTCCAATCGGCTCCTTGGTTCTTCTCAGGTCACTTTCCGCCAGCTGTCCTGCTCCTCTCCCTCTTCCCCAAATTCGCAGGCTCCACTCAGGGTTCCATTTGCTGCTCTCTTACAAATCCAACCACAGTATGATTTTGTTTGGGCTGGAAATAAATGATCTTTGCCATCTTTCCGCTTTTGCACAAACACTCGTGAAAAGCCCCCGTTACGCAGAAGCCGTGTTCTCCTTCTGGCTTGGATGGATCAGGGTGAATCTGCTCCTTGGCAGTAGACCTGTCTCTTCCATGTTCGCACTCCAGGCCTCAGCTGACCCCTCAGTAGATAGCACTTTGCAAGAATGGAACGGGGAGGGCAAGGAATGTAGCTCAGTGCTTCTGCCGCCTGCCTCGCAAGCACAAGGCCCAGAGTTCGAACCCTGGTACCCTAAAAAATGGAATGGGGAAAAATTTCTCTTCCTGAGCTTCGCGGTGGTGGGATCAACGCCCCTCTTCTTTTTCATCTTCATGGTGACAGACCACAACATGGGCCCCTTCATTCTCTGGAATGGCTCCCCCAGACACCCGCTGTCTCTTAAGCAGGGCCAGGAGAGCCCTCCTGAGTGGCACACACATGCAGGTGGCTCAGCTGGCCTGCGGAAGTCACCCTCAGCCCTGGCAGATTCTAGGCCCTGCAGACTTCCGGTCCCTTGAAGATGGGGCTGTGTCCCCCACCATGCCATCTGAGATGATGCACTAGGAAAATACCCAAAGTGAGCCAGGAACAAACCCACTTGTGACCAATCCAACGGTTTATCAATTTACCACCCTCGTGGACGTCTGTGAGCTTCTATTCGTCTCTCTTCAGGTCGCCCATCAGCACCCTGGACGGGACAGATCATTGTCACGGAAGAGGAGCCCTCAGGTAAGACCTCTGCTTTCCCCAGATGCCACTGCCGGTGAGCACGCTTTACTTAGGGCCCCCGGAAAGGCGAAGTGACTGATCAGGGTCACAGCTGGGCGCGGTGCGGAACACTTGCTCTACTGCTGAGCTGTTCCCCCAGGCCCCGGAGCGTCCTGTTTTCTTGTTGACGCTTTCCTGAGGGGCAGTTGTCACACAGTAACCTGTGGGTGTGGAAAATGTACAGTTGTTTGGGTGTTACTGGCGTGTACGCTCACGAAGCCATGACCGCGATCATCAGGACGAGCATCCCGAGCATCCCCACCACGCCTGATGTTCCCCGCGCCCCTCGCAGTTCCTCCTTCCCACTGCGCCTGTGGCCCCAGCCCTAGCTCATCTGCTTTCTGTTGCCACAGCTTGCATTGTCCATGATTTTGGCTTGTTTTTTGTTTTATCCTGGCTTTTTTAGTACCGGGGATCGAACTCGGGTCCTTGCGCTTGCGAGGCAGGCGGCACCACTGAGCTCAGTCCCCGGCCCTGTGCACGATTTGGGATAGAGGGACTCACACCCATCTTTGCCTGGTCCGCATCACTCAGCAGCATAATTATTCTGAGCTTCATCTGCGTCCCACCGGCACTTGTGAGATTCCAGTTGTTTCTCGACGTCACTAGTGTTTGCTTTGCTCGCCCTTTTTAACTTTAGCCACTCCGTGGGCTGATGGTATTTTGTGTGGGTTGGACTTGCATTTCCCTAATATTAGCTACTTTTTTTCGTGCTTACTCTTTTTGTGCCATTTGACATCTTGGTCACAATTGAGTGTTTTGCTGTCGTTTTTGGAAATGTCACAATATCAGAAATGGTAATGACATTTTTGCCTTTTTCTTCTATCAAAGAAAAAGCACTTTGTCTCTCACGATCCAATATAGCATTATGGGTAGGATTTTTTCAGATATATATATATATTTTTTAAACAGCATATCGCTCAGTAGTTCAGGCTGGCCTTGAACTCACTATGTAGCTCAGGCTTGCTTTGAACTTGTGCTGATCCTCCTGGTTCAGCCTCCCGAGTGCTGGGATCACAGGTGTGTGCCACCACCCCCAGCTCAGGGAGGGTTTTTATATCCATCATTTATCAGGTGTAGGGAAGGCTTTTCTAGTGCCAGCACTTGCTGAGATGTATATCATGAATGGATATCGGATTTTGTCAAATGCCTTTTCTGCATGTATTGAGATTGGATGATTTTTTCCTTTTCCGCTAACTTGGTGAATTATACTGATTTGACTTTAGATTATTAAACCAACCTTGTATTCCTAGGGCAAACCCCACTTTGTCACACTAAATTATTCTTTTCCTATATTGTTGGATTTCATTTCCTAAAAATTTTTAGGATTTTCGCAACTTTGTTATATATTATCCTTTTTAAATATTATTATTTGCTAAGCTTTTGTTAGAAATTTTTGTGCCTCTGTTCATTTAGAGGCAGTCTCATCTAGATATGTTCATTTAGATGAACCGACCTGGCACCTTGTACCCCATCGCAATGTCTTTCTGCTGAGAAACCTGCTTTTCGATCACTGTTAACATGGCACGTGCTCTCACATCCTTTACCTTCTTGTCTACATTTGTCCTTATTTAAACTGTCCTTCTTGTCAGCAGCGTGTAGTTGCTTCTGGTTTCTTATCCAGTTTGGCAGTCTTTGGCTTTAACTGAGATGTTTTATCCACTTACATCTCATGTGATTATTCTTATGGTTGGACTTAAATCTGCCATCTTATTATTTGTTTCTGTTTATCTATTTGTTTCCTTTTTCCTGTTTTTCTACTTTTTAAAGATTGAGTATATTTTATATTCTGCTTATCTGTGCTATGCCACTGACTATTATGTTTTTGGGCTTCAGTGGTTTAGAATTTGTTACTCAGCCTGTTTAGCTCAGTTGCAGTAGCACGCTGTGAACTTCGTAAGCAGCATCAGAACTTCCAGCTGTGGCGTCCCCTCCCCTCCCGCCCCTCCTAGCCTCAGGGCCATCACCATCCTACAGTTTATTCGATGCACACACATAACCCTGCATGAGACAATCACCATTGTTATGTCGGCTTTAATGTCATTGTGCTCTCTTGCAAAGAGATTGTTTATGTTTTTTTCCTTTTCATTTTTTTATAGATCCAGATTTCTGTTTGACAATATTTCCTTTCCACTTGATTCACTTTCTTTAACTCTCTTGTAGTGCAGGTCTACTGGTTGCAAATTCTTTTATGTATTATGTGTCTGGAACGGTTTCTGTTTCACTTTCATTTTTAAAATATACCTTCACTGAATACAGAATTCTAGATGACATCATTCTTTCTGTAGTTTAGAGAGCTTGGCTCATTGGGGCACAGATCCTCACTAAAGAATGACTGTTTTCATTCTTATTTTTGTTGCTAAGTGTGTAGTGTGTCTTTTTCTGTATCTGCTTCTAAAATTTTCTCTTTTTCACTCTTTAAAAATTTTGACTATAATGGGCACCTATCTCATTTTTTTTCATATGTATTTTTGTTTAGGGTCAACAATTTTCTCAGCTCTGTGGGTTTACAATTGTCATTAGATCTGGAAAATTTTCGGGATTATTTCTTTAAACATTTTCTCCAGTGCTCTTTTCTGTCCTCTCCACTTCAGGAAATCCCCTCATGGTCTGCTGAAACCACTTGAAACTGTCCCTCCGCTCACTGATGCTATGTGCATTCAAGGCTCACGCTCTGGAACACATGGGGCACATTGTTTGAGGCCTTTATATACTAATTGTATCTAGCAATTCACAGATGATACAGATTCTATCATCAGGGACATTTCTGGTTTTGTTTCTACTGATTGATGGGTTAATTTTCTTGCTTCCTTACATAATTGGTAATTTCTTTATTTCATGCCAGACACATTGAGTTTAATTTTCATGTTTCTAGAAATACCCTTCAGCTCTATCCCGAGGAAATCTGCCTTTGTTCCGCAGCACAGAGTGAGAGGGGAGAGACTCACGGGGAGGGGCCCTTGTGGACATTTTATGACTTACAGGTGTTTCAGTCAGCTTTCCCGTTCCGGGGACAAGGGACTTGATACAACTTTAAGGAGAGATTTATTTAGCTCGCGGTTTCAGGGAATGCGCTCTGTGGTCAGCTGGGTCAGTTCATGGTGGGCAGGAAGCAGAGAGCATGGGTCAGCGCCAGAGAGGAAGGGCCCGGAGTGAGACACGGTACCCAGGGTCACGCTGCCCTGGCCAGTCCAGACCCCCGGAGGTGTGCTTTCCTGCTCTCTTCTGTGCTTTAATCCAGTTCACCTGATGTAACACAATTGATGGTCACCAGGGGCCTTACCCTTAGGCATGTTCACAGGAGTTATGGATTGCCTAGTTCAAAACTGCAACGCACAGGAAGAATTTATGTACAGTTCTATGTCAGGCTTAAAAACGAATGCCAAAGGCTCAACTGCTCTTATCTGGCAGGAAGTGAGGACCTAGAAATACATGGGCACCAGGGCTCATGGTCAACCAAATGGCTTGAGGTTGGAGGGGGAACAGAAATATAAACTCTGCTGAAACTAAAAAGCACACAGCAGAGTCAGGAGAATATGTTGCAAGTGCCAGTATCATCGATCAAGAAACGAGTATTTGCTGTGTCTGGGAAGCTGGGTATGCTTTCCTACCAAGAGGGAGCTGAATGAGGAAACAGAGCCAGCCAGGTGTGGTGGCGCACGCCTGTAATCCCAGCAGTTGGGAGGCTGAGGCAGGAGGAGCCTGTGAGTTCGAGACCAGCTCTGGGCTACACAGTGAGTTCCAGAGCAGTGTGAACTGCATAGTGAGACGAGCCAGAGAAAATCACACTATTCCAGTCTGGCAGACCTGGAGGCAGAAGAGCCCGCCGCTCCTGAGGGCCCTCCTGCCTCAGCGTGCCTTTCCCAAGTCCTTCAGACACTCTCACACCCTGCACTCTGCTGTTTGGCTTCTCCCTTTATCGCCTCGACCGCACACAGTTCATAGACAACGACAGTGTCCGGCTCCCTGGCTCTGTCCGTAAACGCTCCAGGACAAGCGCGTGAGCACCGCAAGCCACGTCCGCACCCTGCGAGCCGAGCCGGGGCCCCTCTCCTCCGGGGGAGAGACACATCTGGCGCTGAGGGTCCCAGCCTACCCGGAATGTGTCCCTAACTTTCCCTGTTGTCTTTCAGCGGGCATTGTCCCCGGGCCGCCCACAGACCTCTCAGTCACTGAAGCCACCCGGAGCTACGTGGTGCTGAGCTGGAAGCCCCCTGGGCAGCGTGGCCATGAGGGCATTGCGTACTTTGTGGAGAAGGTAAGGCTCCAGAGTCCCCAGTGCCTAGAGACTTTTACAAAGCTGGGGCTAAGTTTCTGAGGACAGTGGAGTAAGGGAGCAGGGAGGGAGGGTGCCCTGATACTGCGCATTCTTACAGACTGGGAGCTCTCTCCTTAGGCGGCTTTGTACATCACCCAGAACTGTGCCTGACGGTTCAGGGGGCTTATGGAACCCCGAGACCCACTGAAGCCCACCAGGAGGGCCACAGACCCCAGATTACAACCCTTGTCAGCGGAGAAATGACCTGAGACTGTAGACTGCCAGGATGACGGTGTTTTCCAGAGACGCTCCCCGTGTCCCAGCTCTGTGGGCCGCTCTGTGTCTCCCCACCCTCACCCCTGAGTGGGAAGGAGAGGCTGTCAGCCCGGGCAGCGGGAGGGCAGAGGGGGAGACAGCAGCGAGCCCTCCAGGGCCCTGTGTCCAGGCGGGACAGTGGGGTTGGGGTGGCAAAGTGGCTGAGATACTGGCAGTTCTGTCCCCCAGCAGCTCACAGAGGGGCATTAGCGCATTAGGGCCCGCACACAGTGGAATGGGTGGGGATGGAGGTGGGTATTCGAGGAGAGCTGGTCCTGGCAGGTGGGAAGGAGCTGGGACCTGGCCAGCGCGTTGCGGAAAAGCAGATCCAGCTGCCTGGCGGGGACAGGAGAGCGCAAGGCAGGGCTTGGGTCTGGATGGCACAGAGGCCTGGAGAAGAATTCGCTCCAGATGAGGCCCGAGTCCGAGTCTGTTGTTAGGCAAGCTGCGACCAGCACACCCGGGGTGGGGGTGGCTCAGCGCTTCACCAGGATTTCACCCCAAGTGCTGGAAACAAACAAACACTGATTGGGGTATACCTGAGAAAAGCTCTGAGCTCATATTTCTGAAAACTTACATTTGTATGGGCGGTGAGGCACCAGTGTTTAAAATAATAAGTGGAACCAGTATTTGAACTTTTAATTTTTATTGTTATCAAATTATGATAGCAGGAAAACTTCTTTACATTTTACTTTTATAGAAAAATCACAGAAAGGGTCTTTTTTTGTTAACAGAAATATGGAGCTCAGTTGATTTTCTTCTTTTGTCTGGAGTGCTGTTCTGATCCATTTCGTAACACATGCCTACTCATCTTCCTTGGCGATTATTGCTAGAGAATAAATTTCCTAGGCATAGCAGTGCATGCCGGCTTCTGCCATGGAACAACACGAAACAAGATGCGGCATTCTTTGTGGCCTTTGTTTTTTCAAACACGAGGTTCTTGAGAAGATTCTCACAGAGCTGAAGCCCTGGGCGGGTGATTTCCCTTTATTTGCTGTTTTCTCTGCGGTGGGCAGCTGCTCGGTCTCGCAGCTGCACACGTGGCTTCTTTCTCATCCCCGAAATCGGCGACACTAAGTGCGTCACCCCTTCCACGTGCGACCTGGACATCCGCCAAATCAGTCTGGTTTTACCAAAATATTATCAGAAACGTGTATATGCTAGATATTAGCCACCGACTGTAACTTGAGCAGCATCCCGAGCTCTCTCTCTTTTTTAAGAGGGCAAAAATAGAGACACTGGCTTCCTGGCGGTGCAGCACACGCCCCAGCGCCTCCCTCGGAAGGGCTCCTGGGGAAAAGCTCCGAATAACCCCAGAATAATCACCATCTCCCACAGACGCGGCCCATGAGTCAAAGGCGGCAGCTGCGGAACATTTCCTCTGTCACGTAGGCCCCGGTTTCCTCCCAAAGCCCAATACCCAAAGCTACCAATTTGCTATGCATTGCAGTTCCGACCAAAATCCCCAAGCAGAAAGGTGGTGGCAGGTGGGGGCCCAGTTCGTCCGCTGAACCCCAGGGCGCCGGCACCCGAGCTTCTCACACGGGGGCGGCCCGCTCCTCCCGCGCTGGTTCCTCGCGTCCCACCTCCTGCGCTCAGCCTGCGCCCGCGCTTCCCTGAGGACCTTGTCACCTGGGCCTGGCGCGCAGAGAGCATGAAGCTGCCTGCCAGTCCCGCCGCGTCTGTGACCCCCGAAACGAGCGGGTGGGGGGTCTCCCAGGAATCAGATGGATCGGCTCCGAGTCCGCTGTGTCCTCCAGCCCAGCCTTCCGCTGGGCGTCTCGCGTCTGGAGCTCTTTGCCTCCTTCCCGCAGACATCCCGTCGGTGGAGACTCAGACTGCGGGAGCCAGGCGCTACTCCCCAGGCGCTTGATCCCTCGGTCACCCCGCTGGGGTCCACACTGCTATTTCCTTCGCGCCTGTTTTGCGTTTCCAGGCGTACAGTTCACCAGGGCTGCCCCGGAGGAAGGCCCCTAGATCTGAATGTGGGTGCTCTGACCTCGGGTCGTGAGCCCACACAGTGCTCGGAACCCTTCCCATTTCAGGCTCCTGGATCGGGGATGCTCCACGGTAAATGTAAGACCTAAGGCCTTGCTACCACTGCAAGGAGCTACACAGTAAGGTCGAAAGACCTTACCAACCGCTCCGAAGAGCTAACGGCGAGAATCACCCAGGAAGGAACGCCCCGGACTAGTTGGAAAACAGACTTTTATTAGTCTGGCCAGAAGGCACTCCCGGAGCCGAGTAGCTCAGGGAGGCACCAGCTCAGGGGCTTAGGCTGTTTTTTAAGGGGATAGGCAGGGTGGGGGTCTACAACAGATGCTTACAGAATGTCCCAGGGTTTTTAAAACATTCCTTCTGGGCACACAGGGAGTGAAACAACAATCATCTATTCACCCAGAACTACTAAGCAGTTCACCTGTTAATGTACTTCAATCACAGTGGAGACTAGGAATTTAAGATTACAAAGTTATGCAGTCCCACATGAAGACGAGGCACATTTCCCAAATCCCCCAAATTCAGAATTCTGCGACGCTTCTAGGCCCGAGCAGTTTGAGTATTTCGCCAGCCTGCCTTGCGTGTCTCCAAACCTGAATCCTCTCTGGAGACACGTGGAGCAGTGGAGAGGGTTCAAATTAGAAAGGCTTACAAAGTGCTCAAGGCAGGAAAAGACAGCTGTTATTTTTATCATGAAAATAGAAGTGACCATCTTTGTTTCAGTGTTCCCCCAGGGTAAAATAAGTTTAAATGAATCAAAGCTTTAACTGAGAAATTAAAGGTCCGGGAGAATTTCTCCCTCATTAAGCAGCGGATCCTACGCACACTGACACATTATCCTAAAAGACTCTGCACCGGACTTTAAGGGGTACCTTGTTAAAACGTACCCATTTTACAGATGATAGCCTGAGACCGAGAGCATGGTGGTTTTCCAAGTTACCCACACCTGGGACCAAACCTTACATCTTTGGGTACTTTCTACCATGCTGTATCTTGGAGATCATGCCAAGGAATGTATTAGTAGACTTAAAACACAAGTGTAGGTTTGCGGTACTTCCTAGCTGCTTTGTTTGTAGGAATTGTGTATAACATATCTGGATCATTTTCTAACCCTTTACTGCCCTTCCCTAACCCTTCTCCCCAATACCCCTCCCCCAAAAAAACATCTTTTTCTCTTTTATCTATCTTTACTGCTTTATTTATATTGTAGGCTTTTCATAGAAGAGAAACCATGCGGTATTTTAGTGTTTGTGTCTGACTTACTGTACCATGCACGGAATTGCCTAGAATTCCATGCCTCTTCCTGCCAATGACTTTGCTGTCTTTGTCCTTTATGGCTGAATAGTGTTCTGTTGAGTGTGTCTACCGGGTTTCTGCAGCCATCCGTCCGTGACAGGCAGAGCTCATCCCTTGTGATCCGCGGGGCTGTCAGTGCAGCGCGGTGCCCCGAGAGGTGGAGGTGTGGCCGGGGCGTGGATTTCCATCGCAGTTGTGCGGCGCCCGCACACAGGGCGGACGGGCTCCTTTCCCACGCAGCCTCTCCCGCATCCATCCGCTGTTCCCTGTGTCCCTGGTGACAGCCGCAGCTCCGCACCTCGGGCGACGCGCTCAGCGGGGTTCACTGTTCTCTCTGCAGTGCGACGCGGGGACGGAGAACTGGCAGCGGGTGAACACGGAGCTGCCGGTGAAGTCTCCTCGCTTCGCGCTGTTCGACCTGGCCGAGGCCAAGTCCTACCGCTTCCGCGTGCGCTGCTGCAACTCGGCGGGGGTGGGCGAGCCCTCGGAGGCCACGGAGGTGACCGTCGTCGGGGACAGACTCGGTGAGCGTCGGGCTGCGCGGCTGCGAGCTGCGTGCAAGCATTAGTGCTTCCGTTGCTTCACAGCGCTGATGTCCTCTCAGACGTCCGGTCGCTGTGCCTGGCCCATACGTTAAACAAGAACTGTGTCCGCTCGCAGACGGTAAACTTCCCCAGGGCTGGTGGGTGTGTTTTCCAAAATTCACAGATATATCTGGCTTATCGTTATCCTCTCACACTAACGCTTAAGAGTTTTCCTGCTTTGACAAATACATTATAAAAAGAACAGTGGTGTGTTTGATGTGATTATCTGTGTAACACTTTTATGTATGTTGGTGTGTACACGACAGGGTCATTGTTTTAAAGTTACCCGTCACCATCTCCTCTCCCCAGACCTCCCCGCGGCCCCTGGCAAAGTCATCCCGAGCAGGAATACGGACACCTCGGTGGTGGTTTCTTGGGAGGAGCCCAGAGACGCCGAGGAGCTGGTGGGGTACTACATCGAGGCCAGCGCCGTGGGCTCGGGCGTGTGGGAGCCCTGCAACAACAACCCCGTGCAGGGTGCTCGGTAAGGCAGCTGGGGGCCCAGGGGCGCGCACGCGGGCACACGTGTGCACCCACACTCACAGACACACTCACACACGCACTTGCGTGTGTGAGTTGCGGGCTGAGCGTGTAGAAAGCCGTCCGTACATCTCAGGAAGAGAAGCTCCAGGCGCTGACACTTAGAACAGAAAATGGTGACTATCCCAAGGGTCACTCTCTAGATCTTCTGTGACTCTGTTCCTTTCTGCTATTTCTTCCTTTCTCGCCCCTCTGTTCTGGTCTTTAACATGCAGTACGGTGCTAGATTCTGAAGACCTAATAAGCTCTGCCCAACATAAATGCCCAGGCATTTGAAATGGACAAAAACCGAAGTGTCAACGTTTTATAAATTCTGAACTTCAACACGATTAAGCCTAACGCTGGGCAGACATAAAATAACCCTCAAAGAAAGACTTTCCGGATATGCTGCCTCTTCACGACTGTTTTTGATGAGGGGAATGCCACATTCTTTTCTTGCTTTTACTGTAGTCTCAGGGTCTTGTGGCCATGCACACCAGCCGAAGTAGCCAGGAAGGACGGTACTAATGTCCCTGTCCTTTACCCGGGCCTCACGTAGGCTGAGCCTGCGACGCTGTCTTCTACACGGAATGGGCCATCTGGACATGAAAACTGTCGTGTCAGTGCTGTTGTCCTTCTCATCCTGATGAACATCTGGTGAAACCGGGACTCATTGTTTTTTTGGTTCTTTCTCATTGAGCTTATTGGTGCTTTTTAGGTACACAGTACAGTTACATTCATCATGGGGATCTTGTACCTCTACCTGACAGGTCTTGGTTCTCGCTTTTTCCCCATATCTCTGCCTTCCCTGCACCCCCTCCCCATTTACAAAGACTTTGTTTCCGTTTTTTCCTTTTCTCATATTTTTTCTTTTCGCTTACTTCCTTTGTCCTATCCTTTCCACTTCCCCCACACCCTCAGCCCTTTTCTTCCTGTTTCACATTGTCAGTTACACAATTTGAATCTTATTTACACTTTTAATTTTTCACACCAGAAAAACTATTCAGTATTTACACATGTGTGTCTTATTTATTTCACTTAAGAGTATGGCCTCAGTATACATCCATTTTCCTATGAATGACTGTAGTTTCTCATGCTTTTTGGCTGAGTAGTACTCCATTTTATTTTAAAAACCACATTTTCTTAATCTAGTCTCCAGTTGATGGGCAATTGGGCTGTTTCCAAGTTTTAGCTATTACAAACTGTGCTGCTATAAACATGGGTGCACATATATCACTGTGGTATGATTCTTTTAATTCTTTTGGAAAGATACCCAGAAGAGGAGTAGCTGGGTCAAATGGAACCTCTAATCCTAGTTCTTTGAGGTATCTCCATATTGATTTCCACAGTGGTTGCACCAGTCTGCACTCCCACCAACAATGGAGAAGGGTTCCTTTCTCCCCACAACCCCGCCAACGTTTGTTATTGGTTGATTTCTTGATAGCAGCCATTCTTTCTAGGGTAAGATGAAATCTCGGTGTTGTTTTCATCTGCATCTCTTGAATGACCAGTGATATTGAACATTTTTTCATATATTTATTTGCCACTTTTACTTCTTTCTCTGAGAAATATCTGTTCATTTCAGATGCCCACTTTTTATATATGTGCTGCTGAAGTGAGCCCCTTTTTGAATTGGGTCTTTAAATTTGGGGGCTGATTGTTTTGTGTTCTTTATATATTCTAGATAGTAGTCCTTTGTCTGAGGAGCAGCTGGTAAAAATTTTTTCCCACATTGTAGGTTGTCTCTTCACTCTGTTGGTGGTTTTTCTTGCTGTGTAGAAAGAAGCTTTTTAATAATATGCAATCCCAGTTGTTGATTCTTTGTGCTAAGTTCCTGTGCTTCTGAAGTTTGTTCATAAAGTCTTTTCCTATGCCAATGTCTTCAAGAGTTACACCTAATTTATCTTCCAGCAAGTTTAGTGTTTCTGTTTTAATATTTAGATCTTTAATCCACTTGGATTTTGGTTTAGTGCATGGTGAAGGTAGGGGTCTAGTTTTAATCTTTGGCAGGTTGAGATCCAGTTTTTCTAACATCATTTATTAAAAAGGCTATCTTTCCTCCACTGAGGATGGTTGGCTCCTTTGTCAAAGATGAGGTAGCTGAGTACATCTGGAGTTATTTCTGCATTTTCCAATCTGTTCCACTGATTCTCAGGTCTGTTTCTTTGCCAGTACCATGCTATTTTTATCACAGAGGCTTTGTAGTACAGTTTCAAGTTGGGGATTGTGATACCCCCTGACATGTCTCTGTTGCTTAGAATGGCTTTTGCTATTCTAGGTCTCTTCTGGTTCCAAATGAATTTTTTGAATATTTTCTCTAGTTCTGTGAAATATACTGTTGGAATTTCAATCAGGATTGCATTGAATCTGTATAGCAGTTTTGGTAGTGTGACCATTTTCACTATGTTGATTCTTCCTACCTAGGAGCAGAGAATATCTTTTCACTTTCTTATATCCTCTTCGATCTCTTTTTTCCAGAGTGCTGTAGTTTTTAGTGTAGAGGTCTTTTGCTTCTTTGATTAGATTGATTACTAGGTACTTCATTTTTTTGGATGCTATTGTGAAAAATGAAATAGCCTACTTATACACGAATAACAGACTCAATGAGAGAGAAATTAGGGAAACAATTCTTTTCACAGTAGACTTTTTGTTTTTTTCTTATTGTTTGTTTGTTTTGGTTTTTTGAGACAGGGTCTCACTCTGTACTTGAGACTGACCTGGAACTTACTATTTAGCCCAGGTTGGTCTTGAACTTGCAGCGATCCTCCTGCCTCAGCCTCCTGAGTGCTGGGATTACAGGCATGCGCCACCCCGCCTGGCTGACTTTTTGTTTTTTGACAGAGTTGAGGTTTAAAATTGCATACTTGCCTTCTTGTCTGAAACACGCGCGTTACCTAAACCACTTTACGTCCTTTTCTTCCTTTTGTGTGGGTTCCAAGTGTCCAGCCCGTAGGCTACAATCCTCCCCCAGTAACTTTCCTCCTGGGAGGGACTTTTGAAACTTTCCTCCTCTGTAGGTTCACGTGCCATGGCCTGACGACCGGCCAGAGCTACATTTTCCGGGTCAGAGCAGTGAACGCGGCTGGACTTAGTGACTTCTCCCAGGACTCAGAAGCTATCGAGGTCAAAGCTGCGATTGGTAAGTTCCTTACGCATGTGAGTGTTTCCAAGTCAGAAAGGAAGAGGCCGTCCGCTCCACGTGTTCTCCGTGAGGCTGACGTGGGCGACCATTTCCTGTGGCCGTCGGTGACACGGAACCTTCCATAGCTGCCATTTCTCAGGTCATCACTCGGCCAGACCCCAGACATCTGTAACCCTTAGGCTTCCCAGTCCAAGTCTCCTCAGAGGCTCCCGGGCTGTGACCCTCCGCTAACCGCTCAGCTGGGGGCGTGGAGGCCACCCGATCCCGTGACACGGACAACCCGGTCACCTGTAGCTGCATCTGGGCCGCGGCTTGACCTGTGTCACTAACAGTGTGTTGACCTGCTTCTCTCTCTCCCTCTAGCATCCACGCAAGTGTGTGCGCTTGGCTTACTAATATGTCTCATCTGCTTGCGAAGCAATGACAGAGTAAGACCAGAAATCAGTAATTATATGTATGGGCGCGATGTGCCTCCCAGGCTCAGGTAAAGGAGGGAAGGAAGCCAGGTGTGCAGAGGACAAAAGTTAAATTAGTGGTGTGCTCACGGGTGTGGGGAAAGGACAGTACAGGCCTGGTATGTGGGGGACACTGGGCTTGGTCCCTAGCACAAAAAAGGAGAGGGGGACGGAGGAGGAAAGGAAAGGAGAGAAAGAAGGAGGGTAGGGAGAGGAGAGAGGAGTGGGGAGCAGTGAGCACCCTGTTACTTTCTCACCTTCCCTGTAACATGGACGATCGCGGACGCGTCTCTCTGAGGTTGGGAGGTACAGGCAAGGCCTGTCATGGTAGCGGACGTAGTTCTGTTATATAAAGTCAGGATCTTTGATGTCGTGTCTCTTGTGCACTTTACGCTTCTTTTGCCAATTCCAGTGGATAATAGAGAGCATTTCTCCCAAGGAATGTCTGAGATTTGTTTTCTCTTGTGTGAGCTAAAAACCCTGTGGGTTCTACAAGTGGAAATGGTCCTGTTCCGTCTGTGGCTTTCTGTTCTCATTTCTGCTTTCCAGAATATGGAGAAGTCGAAATGCTCCCGGGTGTTACTTCTGGGAAGCGTATGTTTTCCCTCTTCTTATAGATCCAGCAGTCCCGCGGGGCCAGTGTTTTCTGTCTCTTTGGTCCCCAAGAGCACCGAGTGCCCTGTTGTTGTCTGGCGATTGCAGGGGGCGCAGTGTCTGCAGACGTGTGGCCCGACCTGCCCGCTGCTCCGGGGGGCTGTGCATGGAGCCTCCCCGAAAAGCTGCCCAAAAGATGCTTTGCCGGGTAGCAAACCTAACAAACCTGCACCGCCCAGCACCCCTCACTGCCTGGGCCACACAGAAGTACGTAAAGTAAGTGAAACAGTTGAGCAAGAGCCCAGCCCAGCGCCCCAGAAGGCAGCTCCCAAGGGGCAGAGTAAGTCTGAGCCCCTGGAAACGAAGGACGCCGTAGGGGAGGAGCAGGACAGCCAGGTCTCCATCTGTCTCCATCTGTGTCTTCACCCTCATCGTCCGGTCGCGTACTGCACTGTGCTCCCTTCCGTCCACGTCGGTTCTGAACGTTCGTGTGCTCAGCGCCCAGTTCTGAATGTTTCCATCTAGTGGTTGCTCACCGGTCTGTCTGGGGCTTGGCTGTCACACATTATTCCCCGGGCCGAACCATGATGGGGCATGGAGAAAAACTGGATTCAAAGGCCCTCTGTGGCCTTGTGTGGTCCCCAGGCAGACACACTGATGGCCTCGCTTGGCTGGGACACGAGGCAGGAAGGACACGGTCCCCGGGGCCTTGTGAGGCTCCTGGAAATGCCGCCTTCGGGTCACAGAGGAGCAGGGTCTCATCCAGAGGTGACACTGTGAGGGCCACCGTCACTGCCTTCCATTGCTCAGCCTTGGGTTTGAGGTGTTTTCCACACTTGATTCAAGTCACCATCTCCGTGAGTCCCCACAAATGTGGAACAGGGCGAGGTGGTCACCCAGAGCTGTGTTCTGTGACGTGCAGCCCACACCCCCACACACCACCAGCACTGATTCACTTACGGGCATCCTCCGTCCTCCATGAGCCAGGGGTGCTGGGCGGGAGACCACGCCTGTGGCTGATGCCATCCCGTGTTTTTCTTGCCAAGTGAAAACGAAGTGTAAATGCCTCGTGTCCCTCCCTGCCCCAGTCCAGCCCAACTTCTGTATCCGTCTCATTTAGAGCCTTTCTGCCTTCAGCTCAAGATGAAACTAGATATTCACACAGCTCATGCCAACAAGTACTGTGCAACAAAGAAAGGCTTTTCTTTCAATGCAGAGAATGAAGTAGGTTGGTGGGTGAGAGAGAAAGAGACAAATGCATTTTATTTTAAAAACATTATTCTGAGCTTCTTTGGGAATAAGGATGAGACAGTTTCTTTATTTCTTCATCCAAATAAATATTCAGAAAATTCTTTTCAATATCACTGCATATAGATTTCATTCCACCACCCTATCCCTCGTTTTGAAAACTACAATTGAATGAAGTAGTTGAATGAAAATTTGACCATCAAAGCTTGACACACATATAGGGCTCTTGAAGTATCCGTCCAGTGTCTTCCAGCTCAGCACTAATAAATACAGTGGCAGGTGTGTGGTGCTTTGTACTTCATGAACAACACCCAGCATCTCCCTGGACGTGTGACTGAGGTACTGCAGACCGAGAGGAAGTCACGTGAGAGGCGGTGCTTCACTTTTTACTCTCTTTTTAAAGGTAGCGTTTAGCTGAGCTCCGGAATGAGATGTTTTTCCTGAGTGCAGTCGGAACACAGATAATCATAAAGTCTCACAGGGCTGGGTGTGCCTGGATGGTGAGATGCTGGCGACCATTGGAGATATATGGAAACTCCAAATAAGCAACAGGGACAGACTGATAGACACGTTCCACTTTCCTCAGGAGGCCACGGCGCTGGTGCAGCTCCTGTTTCCATGTCCTGCCCGGCGACCTAGCGCCCTCATAGCTGGCTGCAGTCAGGTTTGGTCCTTGTAGACGCCGCTCTCTCGCTCACCATCTGTTTGTCTTGCGACAGCGGCGCCATCTGCACCCTGTGACATCACTTGTCTCGAAAGCTTTCGTGACTCGATGGTCCTGGGATGGAAGAAGCCGGATGAGAGCGGAGGAGCAGAGATCACCGGCTACTACGTGAGCTACCGGGAGGTGGCCGGTGGGGTGCCAGGCCCGTGGAGAGAAGCCAACGTCAAGGCGCTCAGCGAGGAGGCCTACAAGGTGAGCGGGGCCTCTGGCTCAGGCGGCCCGCGGACCAGGGTGTGCGACGCCCTTGTGGCACAGCTCCCTGTGGTGGCTCCGTGCCGGTCCTCACAGGGCCCTGTCTGTGTTGGTGTAACTTTTGTGGAAAGGACATGTGGGCAAATGCCAGTGGTTCTGCTCACCAGGCAGGATTTATGTTTTCTGATTCCCATGTATAAGCGTCATTCCTTGGAATACTAACTGTAAGACACACACGTATTTTGAAAAGTAACATTTCTTACAAAATATCTATACGCAACGTGGCACTGGCTCACAGTCCCAGGGTCCAAGTGCCTCTGGTCTTAACGGTCAGCGTTCCAATCACAGCTGACCAAGGGGCCCGGCTTCCACCCGGGACACCTCGTGCCTAGCGGGGCTCTGATGGCCACAAGGGACAGCTTCACAAGAGGCCCCTCTGCCTGGGCCCCGCCACTCAGCCCACCCCAGGGCACCGAAGGCCTCACGGCAGACACAGCTGGCTTCCTCCTCAGAGCATCCTCAGTGAGGCCCAAGTCCTCGCCTCCCAACACTCACAAAACCCCAGCCCAGGGGTTCCGAGCAGGGCAAGGCTGGGGTTCAGGGCCACAGTCTTTTAATTTAACAGATGAAATCTGCAACATCATACAATCCAGGAGTGCATAACGTAAAACTGTATCGTCTGTACCATTCTTCCGCACTAGCGCGTACAGCTCTGGCTCATTTTTCATCACCATACAGTGCTCCGAGCCTGACTGTATCACAGTGTACTCTTCATTCCACTACCGACGGCTAAGGAAGTGGGCCTTTTTGTATTTTTAGCCACACCGAAAAATGTAGTAGTGAACACTTCTGTGCACGACCGCAGACACACATGACCTCAGGCCCTTACTCAGGCAGAGGGTCTGCTTATCTTCCGTTTTACTAAGTGATCCTGCACTCTTTCTTGAAGGGCGTAGAATTCCCATTGCTCTACAGCCTGCTGACTTTGGCATATTCACCTACGCGTGGATTCAACCGTCTGGGTTCAAATGAATCTGAATATCTTTGCCCACTTTGATCTCCTCTTGTACAACTTGCCTGCTTAAGAGTTTTGCCCATTTTTCTAATGGCTTACTAATTGTAAGACATGATGAAAAGAACACAATTTTCACTTGAAACCTTGGGTGAACCAATTATGAACAAGGAGGACAGTTTTAAAGTTAATTTTAGCAGGGCATGGTGGAGCACGCCTGGAATCCCAGCACTAAGGAGGCTGAGGCAGGAGGATCGCTGTGAGTTTGAGGCCAGCCTTGGCTACATAGTGAGTTCATAGCCAGCCTGAAATAGACAATGAGACCCTGTCTCAGAAAATAAATAAATAACCTTCCTGTCCCTGAACGCGAATATTTCTCTTAATTTATTTTGACCCTTAAAGTCTCTCTAGTGGAAGCTTTCTAATTCTCTACAGAGGCTTGTACATCGCCTATCATTTATAGAAACACTATACATTTTGAGTATAGTAATTAGTATATTTCACATCTGTTTTCTGTTGCTGTTATAGGGAATTATAACTAATTTTATATATAAATTATGCAGTAATTGCTGGACATAGTTTTTTGCTAAATTTTCTTATAACTTTAATAAATTCCTTGTAAGTTCTCTATGTAATTTTCTCACTGTATAGTTATATAATCTGCAAATAAAGACAGTTTGCATCTTCATTTTAAATTTTTTTATCTTTTACCTCCTTTTCTTACCTTGTTTTTGGTCTCAGACCTTCAGTACAATGCTGAATTGAAATGGTGAAGTTGGTACTTCTAGACTTGATTCGTATCTTAAAGGAAAAACTCCCTAACATTTCACCTTTAAGTATTCTGCTTGCTCTAGTGTTTTGGGGGGCAGTATTATCTATTAAAGGAAGTTTCCTTCTATCTCAATTTGCCAGGAGTGAATTCAAATTGTTAAAAATTTTTCTTGTCTATTAAATGATTATATAATTTTCCCTTTAACCTTAACATAGTATATTCTAGTAATTGTTTAACATTAAAACAAACTTGCATTCCTTCTACATATCCAACTTACACACTGCACCGAATATATACATCCTGAAATACTGTTTTGATATATACCTGGGTTTTACTGCTAATTATTATTTAGGTTTTTGCTTCCATGTTCCCATGAGATTATTCTGAGGCTAGAATTAATGTGAAACAACATCTAACAAGGACAGGATAGGAAGGAGAACTCGCAGGATAATCTCACTTTTTGAAAAACAGCTTTCATAGCACAAAATTCTCTCATTTAAAATGTTGCCTCAGAGGGCTGGGGATGTAGCTTAGTGGTTCTGCTGCCTGCCTCACAAGCACAAGATCCTGAGTCTGACCCTTGCTACAAAAAAAAAAAAAAGTTGCCTCAGCTGGGCAAAGTGGCTCATGCCTGTAATCTTAGTACCACGGGAGGCTGAGGCAGGAGGACAGCAAGCTGAAGCCCAGCCTGGGAAAGTCAGTGATTTAGGGAGACCCTGTCTCAAATTTTAAAAAATAATAAATTTAAAGGGTCTGGTGTTCTAGCTCAGTGCAAAGGTCCTGGTTTCAGTCCCCAGTACACACACACACACACACACACACACACACACAGGAGTTCCCTGAAGTTACTGGACCTATGCAAAGTGACTGAAGCTAATAGTATGTTTAGCCTTGAAGTCTTTATTTTCTGTTACTGATGCAGATGACCTGGCTTCTTTTGGTCAGTGTTTGCATGGAATGTAGTTTTTCATCTTTTAACTTTTGGTCTTGCTTTTATGTGTCTCATTAAAATAGCACAGTTACATTTTTTTTTTCTAACTTGACAGTTTTTGTCATTTGGGACTATTTAATGTTCTACGGATTTTTTAAAATCGCCTCATTTTGTACCTTTTTGTGGAACTGGGGAGTGAACCCACGGTCTTTGCATTGAACTATATCCACTGCCTTTTAAATTTTTTTATCCTAAGACAAGATCATGCTGAGTTGCCCAGGCTGGCCTTGAACTTGCAATCCTGCCTTGGGCTTCCCAGAGCTGAGATTACAGGCATGCACCACCACACTCAGCTGTATCTTGCTCTTTCTCTTTGTTCTTCTTATGTGTTCATTTTCTGTCCTTTCTTGATTATTTTTGAATGGTTTCAAAAAACCATTTCATTTTCCCGTACACTGTCATAAAAACGTAGATTCTGCAATTCTTTGGTGTGTGTTAGTGCCCAAGAAAACCTAGAAACTAATGTTAATCCATGTTTTGTCCTTGTCTCAGAAACATAAATGCATTACAATAACCCACTTCCCTCCTTCTCAAGTTCATGTTACTGTGTATGTATGTGTGTCTTGGGCTCTTTTTTTTTTTTTTTTTTTTTTTTTTT